CCAACCAGAGAGGCTCACTTGATCCTGAGTGTCCATAGTTTTTATTGGGTGTCAGTGGTGTAGTCATGCAGTGCACGCATAACTGAGCTCAGCTACTCAGGCTCCAGGCCTTCCCCATGTTCACTTAGCAAAAACAAATATTCACCACAAATCACTTTGTTAGGATAAATTGATCTAATCAAACTTGTATAGCATGGCCCAAGGCCTCAGTCTTAAGAAAACACTTATCAAATGGAAGAACTAAGTCATCTGCCAGGATCTAGTGAAAGACCAGTTTTGAAGACAAGCCTTTCTTTGGAATGTGCAGGGTTTGAGCAACCCAGGCTTGCTGAGTTAACTCTTTGCTGCCCAGATGCTATATTTATAAAGTTCAAAGGCCCATGAATCAATACTATTTATTAATGAATACATGAACCTCATGCGGATGCTTAACACCCAATTTAAGATAGAGGTTGCCTTTGGGATAAAAGGAGAATGCTAGGGAGGAGGTACCCAGGGAACTTTAATTGTATCTGTAATGTTTATTTAAAAGTTCTGAAACAAATATGACCAACAATTGAAATTTGACAAAGCGCTGGATGATGGGTACACAGATGCTATATTTTCCATAATTCTGTGTATATCTGAAAATATTTAATAATAAAAAATAGAAAAACCTGTTAAACTTTTATAAAATGTAAATCATAGTGCTACATTAAAAAGAAAGATTTTTGTGAAATATTTGAAGAAATGGTTTGTGCCATTCTTCAGTGGGCTACAATATTGTCTTGAGGAGACATCCTCTTCATATGGATTCAGAAAGGCAGTCAAGCTTAGCACACAAGAATTTGTTACTCAATTACATTATAGCCTTGTTTATTCTGAATGTTAAAGAATATTTGAATGTTGAGGTGGAATATCCAAGTTTTTAATGTACATAAGATTATTGTGGTTGTCATACATATGTAATGCATGCCTGGTATTCTTCAAAAATTATCAAATTACTTCCCATTTCAGTCCTCTTTATCCTGTACCGGTGCTAAGGCTAGTCCAGTAAGTTTGGTGTAGGATAAAAGGGCGAGGCAAAGGAGAACAAGCAGTTTTTGCTCTTGAAGCATATTGAATTGTGTGCTTTCCTTCCCTTCTTCTCCCTCCCCACCACCCCATAGAATTAGTCTTAAGGAAAAACATTACAAAAAGGCAACCTGTAGATTATATAAAGGGGAAAGAGCAGTTGAACCTCTTTGCATTGGGAATGGTGGTGGGGGAGGGGGTAAAATTGTTCAGATGCTTTTAGCCATAATTCCTAGCTACCATGATTCTTGCATTTCCTCTGTTTCTGTTTACCTTCCGTAAGTCCAGTCAATTGATAGATTTCCTTCCTGTACATACGATATGGAGGTCCTGTACCTTGAGATGCAAAATAAGTATGGTCTTTTGCCCCAATATGTTCCTGATAATGAAATACAAGTAAACAGTTCAAAAGCCAGTCAGTAGTTTTCCCTATATATTGTTTTGTGAGGAAAGCCGGCAGTAACATATTTTTGTCACAATTTGTGCATCCCACCCTCCCAGCATTCACAGCTCTAACTTATGTGTCAACAGATTAAGTTTTCACACGTCTTGGACCCTCAGCGATACTTGAAATAGTCAAAACTGTAGGTTTTAAACTGAATAATGCAGGAGTCAGTTGAATGTGTTCATTGCCAAATGAATGGTACAAAGTGGATACTTACTACTAGTAGATGAAAGCAAGAAAAAGTTTGCCACCTTTAGAATAAAATTTTTTCTTTCTCTGTAGAATTATATTTAATATGTAGTGGTGACATATTAAATGAATGACATGAAAAATATAAAACTCTTTTTCATAGAATAGTTGAGAAACTGAAACCCATAAATGAACCTTGAGCTAATGAAGCAAAAAAGTAATTTATCTTGCTTTGATTTATATTACAGAATTACAATTAATTCTCTTGACTGAAATGCCCTTTTGTGATTGAGAAATGTTCTAGTTATTTGTCATTATCCTTTCATTTTCTACTGGTCTTTAAGCTTACAGTCCGATATTGAAGGTGTTTTAAAGAATATCTAACATTCTGTTTGAAGTTCTATTGTATTGTTTAAAGTGAACTGAAAAGTATATCAACAGTCTCTTATAATTTGTTTTTCCAAGTTGATACTGCCTAAACACTGTCAATAGCTAGTGTATATGTCGCTTCTTTTTTGTGTCTTCATGTTTAAACTGTTGGGATGAAGCTATCTTGTTACTGATAGACTAAATCATTTTCAGCCAGCCACTAGGGTGAAAATAATATTCAAGTACAAAAGTGAATTTTGCTACAACATAAGGAAATCTGGCAATCCAAACTAAATATAATTACTGTGTTACTCCACTAAGTGGGCACAGTTTTAACATGGTGGTTACTGAGAGAGAGAACTGAATTTAAAATCTTTAAATAGGTAAAATGCTTCAGAGATGAAGTCTAATATTTAATTCCGGTTGAAATGCATCACAGATTTATACCATCATGTGATCACTTTGCCCTCATTACTTCCTTTTTCCTTTCTTAAATATAGCTATTCCTCAAGATCATTTCTTTTTGACTTACAGCTATTTTCTGTAGATATTTATTTCCTAAGAGAAATTATGTTCTCATTGTTTAACCTATAATCTTTACATTTATGAGTCTTAAATCTACACATCCAGTCCTCACTTCACACCTAGAGTCTAGTTCCAAATTTTCATGTGTCTATAAAATATTTTCATTGGATATCTTACTGGAACCCTAAGCTCAGTATATCTTGTATAACTCCTCTTTGCAAATATGTTGCCTGATGATTATATCATTTAGCAGTCTGTTTTATTGATTAGCATTATGCATTTTTATTTATACTGTCATATTCATACACTGTTTAATGTGAACTTTGTCTGATGTCCCCAAATTGACTGGCAGTGTTGTATAGCTGGCTCTTTTTCTCTTTTTGTTTATAAGGGTTAACTCTTTCTCCAAAGATGAAAATTCTGTATGCATGATAGCACAATTACTATTTAACAAAGGACAGTTATGTGGTGTCCATTCTTGTTATTGATTTTTTTATTATCTCTGAGTGTCACTGTAATTATAGTGTTAAAATTTTATGACTGAGTTTAGGCTAGTCAGATCATCAAACACTTAAAATAAAGAAACTTTATTCTGTTGGAATATTATAGTAGGCACAGATAGACCATTTCTTTGGTTAATATACCATGTCTGAAAATATTTGTTAACTATATTTTGCAATGAAATTTTAGACTAATTTTTTAGTCTTCTGTATTTCATAACTGATAAAAAATGAAAACATTTTCTTGGAGGAAATAGTGTACTTTGAGAAACCCACTGGTAACTACCTTATTAAAATGTTTATATATTTGAAACAGCAGTTTCACATTGCATAAAGATGATTTAACTTTGCATATTAAGAAAAAAGAAAATATAGATTTCTATAAATCTCCCTTTTTCTTGCTTACATTGGCATAGTTTATTTTATCATTAGGGAAAGAGAAAATAAAAGCCACCAAAAAGTTTTGTTTTGTATTACTATCATTAGGAGGACAGGGTGTCTTTCTCACAGATAGCTTACCTATTCTTCTCGTTGTTTTTTGTTTTTAACTCTTGTATATTCATTTCTTTTTCTCTTACTCTGTTTTATTCACTTTTTCATTTATTTATTTATTTATTTATTATACATAACCAACCTTATTCTAGAATAGATTTAAGATGACTTTTTGTTCCTTTTATTGGCCACAATTACTTCAATTGCTGTTGTTACACAACCCCCCTTTCAAATCCTATGTAAGTGTGATTTGTTCTTTAACTGATTGACTCATTACCCAATGATTAGAAATACATATATTGGCTAGATGATATAGTGAGCCATCTGTAGAGTTAACCAATACCTCCATTTTTTCCACTTGCACTTAACCTTTCTTTCCAAGCAAAGGAACTTGTTAATTTTTTTTCCTAAATGTTTCATTGCAATGTAAATTTTTAGAATTTAGACCTATCACAGAAAGTTTTTATAATTTTAAGAAGTCTTCAATTCTTACATTATCAGTAAGTTAATGTTATTTATATTTTAGGGATTGGAATAAAATTTACTTTGATGCTACTTGATGTCAGAGTAGTTTAAATTGTGCTTGTGAGTGAGATCTTAGTGTGGCTAACATTTTTATTTTTAATATCGAGTTGTTGAATAGCTTTCTGCAGTAGGTGTTATTATATCTGTTGCTCTTCTTGATTTCTAATTGTTGTGAATATTTATAACAGCTTCATGTACGTCCACTTTCTTAAGCTTCCTCTACCATTTCCTTTTAAATGCCTGGTTTAGGAAATGGGGAAATGGGTTTAGGAAATCAGAATTGCTTGGATTGTTTTTTTAAAACATACCACTGGGAATTCTGATAGTTTACTCTCCCTGCCATCGTTCTTTGGAAATCCTTTCAAGATTGTAGTGAATCATTGTTACTGAAGGAACTTAAGATAGTCCTCAGGTGTGTCAGTTTCCAGAGAAACTAGGCTGCCTAGTACTTGTTTATTTTTAAAAAGCTATCAAAACTATTCATGGAAAGTGGCATTGCATGAAGCAATAAATTACTACAAATTTCAAATATGTAATATATCTAGTAATAAAAGTATTTATTCTTGTCCGAAAGTGTTAAATTAGACAAATACTTATATCAGAGAAGCCATTGGTTATTAGAACAATCCTGAATATGGTACCCTTTTCTTCAAGAAAACATTCAAACTTTAAGGAGCAAGTACTTAAAATAACACAAAAGGGAAATTCTTAATACAATTTATTTTCAGTCTTCATTCTTATTTCCTTTTGTCTTGGATAACCTTCACAAAATGTATCTTTTTTATAACCAGTGTCCTGAAAGTTGCCAGGTTTCACTTGTCTACTTTCTGATCTGCCTCCAGTACAGGTCCCTTCTTTTCTTCTCTCTTTACTCTTGAATTAATCCTCTACCTACTTCACAGGCCGATTCTTTGATGAGAATGAATCCCCTGTTGATCCGCAGCATGGCTCTAAACTGGCGGATTATAATGGGGATGATGGTAACGTAGGTGAGTATGAGGCAGACAAGCAGGCTGAGCTGGCTTACAATGAGGAAGAAGATGGTGATGGTGGAGAGGAAGACGTCCAAGGTGAGCGTGGGCCTGGCCTCCATGCTGTGACCATGAAACCCACCTCTAAATTTTTTGGTTGAATTTGTGTAGAATTTCCCCCCACTTTTTAGCAGTACAGCCTTAATCTGAAGAGGTTCTGTGCAGTTTTTCAGTTATATTTCGAAACCCATTTTATGATAGTGGTATTTGTAGATCTGTAAATAAATCCACATATTTTAATTATTTTCATTTTTAGTTAGCTTAGGTGTTATTGATACAATTACAATTTGAAACTCACAATCTTGGAAATTTTTTTCTTCTTCAGAAATTTTAAAATTGTTTAAAATGGCTCTAGACTTTACCTAAGGCAAATACTCCCAGAAAATAATTCTTTTCCAGTTTTTCATCTCAGAGCATTTCAATTATTCTAGGTGCAAACATTGACCAGACACCCATTTTGGTGTAAGGGAAGCCACAAAAGGAATGGTCTCCTCTACTCTAAATATAAAATTATTTCATTACTGATTCAGCATAGGAAGACTGTTTTTGAAATTTTTTCTGAGGCTTAAAATTTATATTTAACTATCAGTTTGTGAATATTTGTCCATTTTATGTTTAATACACAGATTCAACATATTTTCCTTGTTAACTGTGTTACTTCTGAGCTTTTAACTTAGTGAAAGTTCAGAATCCACCTGTGTGCATGCAGCCCTCCCCATGCATGCATATCAGAGTCTGTTGCTTTATTGCAAGTTTTTAGGCCTGTTTTCAGCCTGCTGACATCGTTTAGTAGTATTTGTGGAGTTTTCCTTTTTTTCCATAAAAGTTGAATATGAACTTAATGTGTGAAGTATTATAATTTATAATATTATGCATGAAATCTTTTTTTAATGTAACCTGTCTTGATTCACTCCTTAACTCTTTTTAAGGTAATTAAATTGTATTTAGGTTTATGACAAGAATTGTTTTTGTAAAACTCAGAAGAAAATATAGTTTTCCTAGAATACTACATAGTGAATAGAAAAAGGGAAACCAGAGACCGACTTCCACCTAGGCATTGTTTTGATAGTCCATTCTAGTTTTGGAAGACTAGTTATTGGGAATAGAAGGAGATTAATAAATGCTAGGAGTTTTGTAAGGATATGTTAATGAGAACTTCTTAAACACTTTTTGGTACTTTAGAATAAATTGTATTCACCTTTTCTATAATCTCATCCATTTTTCATAAATTTTACTATTTTTTTCTTATTGCTTTTGTGATTTGTTTGAATTATATTTATTTGCAATTACTTATAACATTGCTTTAAGGCTTTTTCATACATTTATATCATATCACCAATTAGAACGTAAGCAGAAATTTTCATTTATTTTGCTTTCTATTTTGTTTGTATCCTTTTCTGCCTTCAGATTCACCCCCCCCCCATCCCTCATAGTACTTAGCACACAAAGGGCCCTCAGTAATGTTGTTAGCTGATAATTTTATGCTTTTCTCATTCAGCTTTTATTCTTATAACTGTGACGAGGGTAATAACCCTTTAGCTTCTGGTCTTAGAAGCTTGCTTGGTTTATGCTTTAAACCTCTAGTTTTCTTTCAGAAGGGCCTCTATCATCTTGCTGGATAATTTTGAGGTTTTCATTAGAACAATTAATTTCAACCATAATTGAAAATCATTTCTTATGTTTTGGCTATCTTAAAGTTGATCACTTTTATTACAAAATTTCAGTTTAATACTTTCATGGTTTTTATCCATAGCAGGTACATTTATCTTCAGTGCCTTCTCGCTCTCTTTCTGGTATCTTCTCCCTCTCCTATCCACAGTTCTCATTACCGCTTTCTACTTTAGGTCCCCAGTACCCTCATGTTGCCCTGCCTTTCTTTTCGCAAGGAAAGAAATCCATTGATTCTAAGGAATATAAAGAAAATGATCCAAGATGATATCCCCAATGAATTAGGAGAAGGGGATTGATACATTTTGGGACTTCTTCATTTGCAAGTGAATCTTACTTGAGCTGGGGGTTGCCTTTATCATTTTTATCCCATTTTGGGATTCACCAGATGATGACAGCAGAAGGATAGGGTAGCTATCAAGAGGACTTCCTTATCATAGGGAAAAGAAAGATGCAAGAACATCTCAACTCCAGCAAATAAAGAGGGATAAATTTGAGTGAAATGACTAAAAAGGAATACTGGAGACCCAAATAATTTTAAACATGTTTAAATGTTTAAAATGTTTTACTTAAAAACATTTTAGGTATAGTATTAACTGTCCAAAAAGTGGGGAGGGAGAATTATGGCTATTCCCTAGTTTATCAACAATTTGGATTCCAAGTGTTTATTATTAAGTTAGAATATTTAGAATTTAAAAGAATTTCTTCATAGCTTCAATGTAGAAATAATGGTTGGGTTCCCAGGCCAGTTTGCCCTTGTAGCCGAAGCAGGCAGTAGAATAGAGTGGTAAAAAAAATATTAGCCTGAGAATTAGGAGACCAGCTTTTCAAGTCACTTAAACTCTCTGGGCCACAATTTCATCATCTACCATAAGCGTATTGAACTAGTGTTCTTCTCAGTGCTAAAATTCTGTGGTCACACTCACAGTGGAATCACTATATATATATATATATATATATATATATATATATATATATATATATATATATATATATATATAACACAAGCACTATAGGAAACCATGTGTCAGATTTCAGCATGCCTGGAACACATCTTTCCCCAAACCTAGGAAAGAAAGTGGAAACTACTGCAGCCATTGAGACTCTGCAGCCAAAGATATGAAAAATTGAAGCATGCATTTCAGAAGCACTATCGAGGTTCTAGCAACAGAGGTTCTTCTCTGCTCTCTCTAGTATTAGAAAGAGTTCTTTCTCAAGCTGTTGTGCCCATAGGATTAGAGATTCCTGCTACAGGACTGAGGTTCTGGTTTCAGCTAAGGACACTCTGGCTTTGGTCTCCGAATTCTGGATTATGAAACAGAGGTTTGGGCAGCATCTCTGCCAATAGGAAGCTGAAGGATTCCAGCTTTAGCGCTGATGCCTGTTTGTATGTATGGATCGTTTGGGTCAGCACTACGTGCAGAGTGTTTTCTTGCAGAATTAAGTGCAGCCTAATTTTCCTGTGTTTACAATCCTGGTTTATTTTGGTTTTAAATTCCTGGTTTCCTGAAGCATCCTAAAAGAAGTATTTTATTTACATTGGTGTAAAATTTTTTCCCTCTGACTTCTTAATGATCAGCTCTGGAAATACTACACATCTGATGGATATATCTTTTTATTCATTCTTTATTGTATTAAGGAGATGGGTATTTACAAATTCCCTGTACTCTTATCTTTAATCCCATATAAGTTCCAAGTTTGTTTAATAGGATATGAAATGCATATTACTCAGTATACCTATGGAAAGAAGCTTAGCATAGTGCTTAAGTGCCTGGATTCTGGGGCCAAGACTGCCTGGATTTGAATCCTGCCTCCACCACTTACTAGTTCTGTCACCTCCTGAATTACCTAACTAACTTCTATGCCTCAGTTTCCTCATTTGTAAAATAAGAATATAGTTACCTAACTCAACAGTTGTTATGTGGATGATATGATTTAAATATTTGTTCAGCACTTAGAAGAGTCTTTCACACTGTAAGCACTATATAAGTGTGTGTTGAATAAAATAATAATTGAAAAACTAAAAGCAAATCTAGAACTTGTTCTCTGGGTTGCCTACTTTAGAGGACAATTGCAGTTTAGCCTGTGGATTCATTTGTACGTTTTAGTGAAAACTCACTGCCTTATTGCCCCGAGATGTTCTTGCTTGGTAGAGCTTGCTTTATGGAGGTGGTCCTTTCTTGACTCAGAGGGAATTTAAGAATTATTTAATAAATTATGAATGTCTTTATATTCCCTTTAATAGTCATTTTGTGTTGTGAGCCATTTATAGATTTTCATGTTTTGTAAAGTGAAATAAATTATTAGTTCATATAATTATATTTAGCAGTTATCTGTTATTCTATGTCAGATTTGGGTAGGTCATGTCATCATACTTGAGAGATAAATGCAAAGAGGTTGTTAGTAGAAATTTGAATTCTGGTTAGAATAGCTACACTGAAAATGCACTCTACTTAATGTAAATATAGCTCAATGTAAGAAAAACACCATATTCTAAAAGTCCTATGAATTCTGAAAAACAATGTGAAAGCACCATACTAAAACTTTGCTAAAGAGCATAAATAAAACCAACAAACTCCTACTTATATCTATAGAGGACCCTGGAAGTAAAGACTGTCTTCATATGCATTATTTCATTTTGAGATAGGAAAACCAGTTGCTATTCCTATTCTACTGAGAAGGTAATTAGAAGTCACCAGAGGTTTAGGAACTAGATCATGTTTGGTTAAGTGCCTGAGCCAGGACTAGAATTCAATTTTTCTATTTCTAGACCTTTTGCTCTTATCTTGTTTTCTCTTTATAATTATTCATTTAAAAATCCCCAAAAGTAACAGTATTCTTTCCTTTCAATAACTTTCCTATTAAATTTCTCCTTTATATATAAGCAGCTTTATATAGCACTGCTCCATGGTGATTAAGTCTTCATTTAATTACTAAGGTCCTGAAACATGATTTTATAGCCATAAGGTGAGGTCCTCAACATGGAACCTAAGTGCCAATGATTATTTTCTTTTTTAAAACCAAAGATAACTTTTTAAAGCACAAAGAATTCTTTGATAAGAGATTGATTAGCATATTTTCAAAATACAAGTGTGATTATGGATATAATGTCAGCTTTTTACATGTAACAGATTTGGGGTTCTGATGCCTAGTGGGTCACACTATTAAAGACATGAGATCCATTTGTTAGAATTTGATACAAAATGATTTCCTGCGATTCTAAATGCGAAGTTCTGTAAGTTTAAATAGAAAGTTATTTTTTTTAATTTCTTTTCTTTTTCTTTTATTTTGCTCGCAGGAAAGTTGTTGAAAGGAAAGAGAAAGTTGGTTGGTTGTCATTTTTTATGAATAAATTTAAAGAAGAAATAAGAACACATCATTATGGAAAGTTAATACATAGTACATATACCACGTGGCATCCTTCTTGAACATGATTTTGCCATAAGATATACTAGAGAAGCTGAGAGTAGAAAACCTATCAAGCCCAAAAGAATAGATTTCAGAAAGCTATATATACATATGAATTTGGATTCTATAATATATAACTCTCCTTAAATTATATAAAATTATATTCCTGGAAAGTTATGTTAGTAATGCCTCAATCTATCAAAAACTAAGCTATTGAGTAGTTGTAACTGAACCAGAAAGTAAGAAAAGTCATTTTTTAAAGCTGGAGGAGCCAAAAGATATCATTAAAAGCCATGTACTAAAAAGGGAGCTTCCTAGGCTATGATTCAAATACTTTTCATTCTAACATTTTAATACTGTGAGCAGTCTTATTCTTAAACCTGTAGTTTGTAGCAAAACTAGAAGAGAAGTATTACTATTGGCAGATAAGCTACAATAATGTGAAATGACAGGTGAGCCAAGAAGAACCCAGAAAAACCTGTCAATAACCAGATAAGTCAAACTCCAGAGCACTGTATGGAGTTGTTTCATATAGATACGTGAAGTTACTTTGAAGATCTTACTTTCTGACAATATTATGTAATTTTTTTCTTTTTGGTAAAGAAAAGGTTAAGGTTTGGTTCATGTATTCCATTTAGGAAGGTACTGGTAAGCTCTTTGAAGAGAAGCAAAGGAATTCACTAAAATGTTAAAAGTTGGGATCATGGGTAACTTATTTCTAATTTTTATATGATGACTATGGATTAATTTTATAATTAGAAAAAACATTATGGTTTTTAAAGGTATGAAAAGGTATACAGAACTGGTTTCTACCAAAGTTTTAATTATAAGGACTAAACTTTGTCTGTATAGAAATAATACTATATATAAAAGGATCAACTCCTCAATGTTTGTGGGTTCCTAAAGTTTTGCTAACTATATCTATCTAGCTTCCTTCCTTCTTTTCTCCCTCCCTTTCTTCCTTCCTTCCTTCTTTTCTCCCTCCCTTTCTTCCTTCCTTCCTTCCGTTCATCCATCCATCCATCCATCCATCATCAAAAGATGTTAAAATTAAGTAATCTTCCAAAATAGTTACAGACTTTTCTCTCTTTAGCCAAGCAACTAAGTAATAGAACACTATTTGCAGAAGGTGTAAAATAACTAGCAGAAAACTACCTTAAGGCTGAGGGAAAAGACACATTGAATTGGATTTCTGCAAGTGATTTTAAAAATAATATTCTTGATATGTAATTATTTCCCTCAACAGATGATGAAGAACGAGAACTTCAAATGGATCCTGCAGACTATGGAAAGCAACATTTAAATGATGTTCTTTAAGCCCTAAAGGAAAACTTCAGAAAACCTAAAGTGCTGTAAAATTGAATCATTTCTACTTTGTTTTTGGCTTTTGTTGTAAAGATCAGTTGTATCAGTTGTAAAGATACATTGAGATAGATTTAAGGAAAAATTTTAATGAAGGAATGTACCCATGTACATATGTGAACTTTTTCATATTGTATTATTAAAGCAGAGACTTTTGGTTATATTACATTTGAGCCAGAAATAATATAAGCAAAACTGTAGTCTTTGCATTTAAAGCAAACTAATGTATATTTTACATTTTATTGAGCCTAATTCTTTCCACAAATGGACAAATAGGAAAAAAAATGGTTGTACAGTTTATATGCTGCACATTAGCATAACCACAGTGAGAACAGTTATTCAGCTGAAAAACTTTTTATACACTAATATATTCTTGTTAGCCCAACAGGTATTCTGTTCTATCTACCCCTTATCTCATGCTCTTCAAGGAATTATACCTAGAATAGTTAGTTAAAGAGGGGAACCTGGAAGCCAAACATTGGGCAGCATGTGTGCAAAATCACTTCCCTACCCTTTTTGTTTTACATGAATGTTGATGTGTTTTGGCCGATAAGCTCTCAGTGAGGTCTGATGAAAGTTGAGATAGTCTGCAAAGACATAACAATATTTATGAGTTATACCTCACTTAGTTCATGAAATTGAGAAATGCATGATTGACAATATATTTTCAATTTTTTCCCCCACATAATACCAGTACTGTTTAACTATAGCCAGCACTAGCTAAAATTTTGTATTTTCAGAGTTCAAGTTGGTGAAGATATTCATGATTTAAATGTCAGATTCTGAGAGGCTAAATCAACTTTGAAATAATCTGCAATCAGTTTTTCAAAGCTTCTCTGGTAGTTTTAGTGATCTTATTTGACTAGACTTTCTCAGAATTACTAAATAGGAGTTTTAACAGATTTTTATTAATGCACAGATAAATAGAAGTACAGTGAGATCTACAGCCATTTCATTAAAATAGCTTAAAAGTTTGTAATGAAGATGAAGAATCTTTGTAATTACTTAGTATGTTAGTTAAGAACCCATAAACCTCATATTTGCCAGTCTTACAAAATTATTTGAAATGCATTTCTTTTTTGACACTTTTTAGTAGAATGGGTAAGCTAGCTAATCCTTGTTTTCTGAGTTAAAGCACTTTTAAATCTTATTCCCCCTTCCCCAAAATAAAAGGTTTTAGTCATAAGGAGAAATTTAATGTTGCTAACTCTGTGTTTTAGAAGGGCTACTGGTATTGCACATAAACATGAAATGCTTCCCACGCCCCCTACCCCACCCCACCCCGTACTCAGGTTCTAGGCAAAATTCAAATTTATAGAGATTTTGAAAACAGGTTTTTCACTTATTGAAGGTGCAAAAATTCTTAGACTTTAGTTTGAAATTATTAAGCAACGGAAAAGATGTAGTGATTTACTAAAATTGTTGTTTCTGTCATATCAGAGTAAACAATTCATGCTTTTACAATGAGTAGAGTCGGCTTACAATGAATAGGTATGATAGTTCACAGAACGTTTTTAAATGGAGTTAAAAGGAATTAATGTACACCGTATGGGCGTTAGGGTGAGAAGATGAATCTAAAACATACTCCTAATAATACTTTACATTTAATACTGTAAAATCTTTACAAATAAAAACCATGAAATTTTTTGCCTTAGTTCCATTGTCATAAAAACAATCACTTGGTTATATGGTCACTATTACTTACACAGCAAAATTTCTTCAATTAACAGTATAGACATTTTATAAACTGAGAAATCTTGGACCAGTTGATAATACTTCAGACTATATTAACATTTTAGTGCTATAAAATACTATGTGAATCTCTTAAAATTCTGACAGTCTACAGTCTGTATTAGACATGCTGGTTTTATAATGTTTTACTTCTGCCTTAAGATTTAGGTTTTTCAAATGTATTTTTGCCTTGAATTAAGTGTTAATTTGATGAAAACTCTGCTTTTAAAATCATCACTTACTGGGTTCTAATAAATTAAAAATTAAATTTGTTTTACTATTTTGCTTATTTTGATACCTATACACACATCATCACACTCATGTGATGCTAATAAATATATTTTAATACCAAAATTTGAGTAAATTTAGAATTTAAGCTAAGCTAAACTAGAATGGCAGACATTTTTTACACTAGGGATATTTACTGTAGTGCTAGTTTATTTAACAAATATTGAGTGTTTCCTATGTGCCTAGCATTGTTCTAGGTAGTAAGAATACTGCAGTGGATAAGATAGACTAGGTTTCTTTTCACATAGAGCTTACATTCAACTGGGAGCAGTCAGACAATATACAAGTAAACACGAACCAGATAATTTTAGATAGTGATAAAAGCTATTAAAAATAAAACAAAGTTCCAAATTCTCTAAGGTTCCAAATATTCAGGTTTTTACTTAACTGAAACATTACAGTTCTGAGGCTAGAATATCATGAGCAAGAAGGAGAGAAATGAGGCTGAAGAGGTATGGAAGGGGTAAGATAATGAGAACCTTGTAAGTTCAGGTGACTTGCTACTGTGACCCATAAAGAGAAAATGCATAATATAAAATATACATGGAAGGATGACTCCAGGATAAATACTTGGACTTCAAAAATCACTTCTAAAATATGTCCCTTTATTTTAAAAAATCTGAAGATTATGTGCCTTTTTTTTTTAGCTGAGCCATCCTGCTACCTGTTGGCAGCTCAGCGGCAACTCAGCTCAGGCTGGGCATTGAACCGCTTTTGCTCAGAGCGCGAGCTCTTAACCAACTGATCCACTCGGCTGGCCAATTATGTGCCTTTTTGACTTCTCATTTGTATAATGCTGTAACAACAAAATGTGCTAAAATATGAGGATAGAGAATCTGTTAAAAAATACTTGTGATGGAGATAGTCATTTCCCATAGTGGCTGACCTTGGACTCTTCTGTTCCTTCACATGTCTGGCCCAATGGCTCCAAATAAGACAATCAAACACTGTAACATCAGTACATTTCCAAAGTTTTATCATCACGTGTGGGCCATCAATATTCAGTTCTAATTGGGTTATATCCAAGTTCCTTTGAAAAGGCTCTCTCACTAAGGGTTCCAAATGAAAACTCAACCAACTATACCAGAAAAAAGGGGGAAATATAATGGTCCATGTAAGCAAATTGTATACAGGGCAGGAGTCTTCTGGACTTGAGGACAATTGAAACAAGGACTTGAATGCTGCCATCTTTGTTTAACCAACTCCCATTTCTACTTTTCTTGTTACCTTCATTCTCTCAGACCAGCTCCCCCACTCAAAGCTCTAACCAAGATTTCCAGCAGGTCACATTTTCTTATTTTTGCCAGCTGAGAGGGGCTGCTCTTCTTTCCTTAGTTCTACTTCAAAAAAAATCCAAGGGATGGGAGACTTCTGCTTCTGGCTATGATTAACTTGACTATCCTCCTTTCTAGATTAGTAGCAGCTATAAAACTGTACAAGCTATATTAAGCAACTGTATTCAGGCAGCACAAAACTGAAATTTCTGAGAGAAGGGAAACTTAAGCAGTTGAGCCCCACAATCACCCAGCTTTCTGTGTTGTAAAGAGGCTGGAGTGCTGAGCTGAGAAGACAGATCATAGAGGGGAGCAGCTGAAGCAGGAATCTGTGAGGTTGGGTATCAGAGAAGAGAGCTATTCCAGACATCTATATGGAGATACCAGAAGTCCAGGGCTGTATATAATCAGGGCAAGACCACTTGATACTTACCAAATAGCAGTTGCTACACAATTGAGAATGGAAAAGAGATACCGTGTGTGTATAAAAGCAGTGCTAAGAGACATTGGGTTTCTAGGCCTGCCAAGATGGAGATCTTAACTGCTGTGGCAGCCAGCTGAAACACCAGAAAGATTGTACCTTAGGTGTATAGGCCATTCCCTAAAGTAAGACCTACTCTAACATGCTCTGACAAAATTGTCAGGGGAGACACAATATGGAGATTGAGTCCTGCCAAGTTGGAACTTATGAAACTAGGCTTTCCATAGATATGAACTAACAAAATCAAACTCAGCCTATATACCACTTTAAGGTGACCGCTCAGTAACTGAAGTACTTGCTAAAACAAGAATCATCACTTTTCAGAAGAAAATAGAATCCAGAATCTCTACAACATACACACAATGTCCAGTATTCAATAAAAAATTACTAGACATATGAAGACAAAAAGAAAGTGATCCATAGTTTTAAAAATTTGACATGGCCTTTGTTGTTATTTTTATATTGTTTTTGTTAATGCATGTATTAAAATATGTTTAAAGATTAAACAAAAATATGTTATAAATGAGTGAACAAAGAATCTCAGCACAGAAATGAAAATTATAAAAAACCTAATGGGAATTCTAGAACTGCAAAGTACAATAACTGAAATGAAAAATTCATTGGATGTGTTTAATAGCAGGTTAGAGATGGCAGTAGAATGAACTTGAAGACATTCAAATATAGTTGTTCTGTAAGTATTTGGAAATAGAGGATTGAAATGTTGAGACCCACAAATATGGATTTGGGTTTCATTCTTCAAATATTGAGTCCTCAAGATGCTGTACACCCCATCCCTGAAACAAGTCTAAAGATTTCATTGTGAGGGCTGGTTGAATGGCGCGATGGTTAAGAGCTGGCTTGGGACGCCAGAGGGCCCCGGTTCGGATCCCACATATGAGGGCCAGTGACACTGCCCTCTACAGCTAAGATGCTGAACAACAGCTCAACCTGGAGCTGGGCTGCCGTGAGTCGCCAGCGACGGCGTAGGCTGCAGCCTCTGCTGTAGTGGGTTGCCATGGGCTACCGTATGTAGCCAGCAGCCAGCGTGAGCAGCCATCCAGAAGCCGGGACTGATCAGCCTCACCCAGGAAGAGCACAATGATGGTGCCAACTTGGGCTCTGCCTCGCCCGGGAAAAGCACAATGATGGTGCCAACTTGGGCTAGTGAAGCAACGTCCTCCACAACTAGACGGAAGAACAAAAGTATAGCAACTTGTCTGCTCCCCATCCCCCAATTCCCCAATAAAAATCTTAAAAAAGAAAAAAAAAGGGACAAGCTTGTAAAAAAAAAAAAACCATAAAGATTCCATTGTGAAAGAATAATGATTATTCTTTCATTTACTTACTAATTACCTAATATGTGTAGAGAACTGTTCTGAGTACTGTAGATACAGTGACAAAGTCTGCCTTCATGGAACTTGTATGCCAGAGGGAGAGATAGATAATTACTTTCTTTACTTATAGTGATAAATGCTATGAGAAAAATAAATCAGAATAAAGAAATAGTGATGGGAGACCCTTTCTGACAGGTGGTGTGAGAACAAGCCATGTGAATATCCTGTGCAACACTATCCAATGAAAATATAATGCAAGCCAATTTAAAATTTTCTAGTATCCACATTTAAAACAGGTGAAATTTTTGTTTAACCAATATATCTAAAATATTACCATTGTACCATGTAATCAATATAGAATACTATTAATGAGATTTTATTTTCTTTTGTACTAAATCAAATCTAGTGTATATATTACATTTACAGCATACCTCAATTTGGACACTAAATTGTCACTGGAAATATGATTGGTATTTAGAGTGAATTTATAGTTAAGTATATTTACATACTCATGTTCGAAGCATGCTTAAAAAGTTTTCCAATAACTGAATCAAGTATTAATTTTTTTCAACAGACTTGACTTTTTATGGCAGTTTGTTTTAGGTTCACAGCAAAATTGAGTAGAAAGTACAGAGTCCTCTCCTCCCCCAGCTTCCCCCACTGTCAACATCCCGCACCATTGTAGAATTGTTTGTAACAATTGCTAAACCAACATTGACATATTATCAACCAGTTTTTGTTTCCATTCACACTTTGTATTGCACATTCTATGGGTTTGGACAAATGTATAATGACATACATCCACCACTATAGTACGCAGAATAGTTGCACTTCCCTAAAAATCATTTGTTTCACTTATTCCTTCCCTAGCCCTAAACCCCTGGCAACCACTGATATTTTCAGTTTCACCATTGCCAGAATGTCATATACTTGGAATCATAACAGTATATAGCCTTTTTAGAGTGCCTTCATTCATTTAGTATAATAATATGCATTCAAGATTCCCCCATGTCTTTTCATGGCTTGATAAGCTCATTTCTTTTTAGTTGAATAGTATTCCATTGTATGGATGTACCAGTTTGTTTATCCATTTACTTACTGACAGACATCTTGGTTGCTCCAAGTTTTGGCAATTATGAATAAAGCTGCTACAAACATTGGAGTGCAGGTTTTTGTTTGGACATAATTTTTCAACTCTTTTGAGTAAAAATATCAAGTTTTTTATTGTAATAAAATACATACAAAATTTACCATTGTACATTTACATTTAAAGTGTACAATTCAATGTCATTAAGTACATCCACAATGTTGTGCAGCCATCACCAGTACCTAGTTCCAGAACTTTTTCATCACTCCAAATAGAAGCCCTGTTAAACAGTCACTCGAGTATCAATTTTAAACTTTAAGTTAATTAAAATAAAACAAAATTAAGTTCCTCAGTCACACTAGCCACATTTCAAGTACTCAGTAGCTGTATGTGGCTAGTGGCTACTGAATAGCACAGGTCTAGGGGAAGAAAATTAAAGGCAGAGGAAACAATAAACACAAAGCCCTTGATAAACTTTTTCAAAGAACAGTTACTTAGCCAGTATGACTGGAGTACGAAGAGCAAGAGGGAGGGAATGCAGTTAGCGAAGTAGCCAAGCGTCAGCTAATAAGGGGCATTGCCTATCATAGTAAAGACTAGATTTTAAGGGTGATGGAAAATTAATAAAGAAGTTTAAAATGATTACTCTGGCTGCTGTGTTGGAAAGATTAAAGGAGGTTCAATAATGAAGAAGGAAGACTTTAAAGGCTGTCACAGTATTCCAGCTGAGAGATGATCGTTCTTGAATTAAGAAGGTAGCTGAGGTGATGAGAAGTGTTTGGATTCAGGATATATTTTGAAGGTTTAGTTTATTGCACTGACGAATTTGACGTTAGGAATGAGAAAAAAACTGTATTCTGTAAGGAAGAGTTTTGACCATGTTAAGTTTGAGATTGTTGTTGTCATCAAGTGATCGCAATATTGGAGCAAAATGACAGCTTTGATATTTCAATATTGAGTATGACTATTATTTCCTTAGTTGCAATAAGAGTGACAAAAATATAACTCATAGAATTACATAAGAATGGATTATGAAGTGCATATGCTCCATATACTCTGGAATAGGGACCTACTGAAAGACTGTTGAAGATCCAAGATACTTCTATGGCATTACTTAGTGAACATCCTATTTCATTAATGTTTTCATATAGCAATAGTTTTGAATAGTTTAAAAAGCATGCATGCCGGGCCGGCCGAGTGGCGCATTGGTTAAGAGCTGGCTTGGGATGCCAGAGGGCCCCGGTTCGGATCCCACATATGAGGGCTAATGACACTGCCCTCTACAGCTAAGATGCTGAATAACAGCTCAACTTGGAGCTGGGCTGCCATGAGTCGCCAGCGACGGCGTAGGTTGCAACCCCTGCTGCAGTGGGTTGCCATGGTCTACCGTGTGTAGCCAGCAGTCAGTGTGAGCGGCCAGCAGCCGCAGTGAGCGGCCGTCCAGAAGCGGGCAACTGATCTGCCTCGCCCAGGAAGAGCGCAATGATGGTGCCAACTTGGGCCAGTGAAGCAATGTCCTCCACAACTAGAATGAAGAACAAAATGACAGCAACTTGTCTGTTCCCCTTCCCCCAATTCCCCAGCGCTGTTCCCATCCCCCAATTCCCCAATAAAAATCTTTAAAAAAATAAAATAAAAAAATAAAAAGCATGCATGCCACTAGTTTTTTGCATTACATTTTCCCCCTTGTGGCTACTGCTTTGAATTTAAATATACTTACCTTTTTTTAAGTTCGTATTTTAAACCTTTATCTTATTCTAAAATCTTGGACAGTGTTGTTACTGAAGATTAATGGCATTAGCTATCATTTAAGGAGCAAGAAAAACACTTTGCTAAGTGTTTTCCATAAATAATCTCATTTGATCTTCACAACAATCCACTTAGATGTTGCAGAAGAGACTAGTAGAAAAAGACCACTGGATGTAAATGACTGGGGTGAAAAAGGGAACAAAATACAGTTATTCTCTGTGAAAAATGGTGTTGAACTGTTAAATTGCAAAAGCATTCAGGCTTACTACCAGCAACTTTTCTAAACTTAGTACCTTAACCATAACATTGCCATAGAAGGCAGTGGGATGTAGTCTAATGAGCAGGAGACTTGATTGTATTTCTTACTATCTGATTTTTACTGTTTGTATAAGCATCTTCTCCCCCCTTCTTTTAAAAAAATTTCAGTGTCTTCAACTGAGGAGTGAGGCTATTATCACCTATTCTATCTATCTCACAGGGTTGTTGGGAGAATCAAAATGCATGTAAAAGGATACAAAAGTGCTTTGTAAATGGCATATTTTACTTAAGTTTTAGGAGAGTTGAAGGTATGAAATTACTTAGATTATTTTTTAGAAAAATTTTTTACTTGATTTAAAAATTATTTTAGTCATCATTAGGGGGTAATTGTTTAGTGTATATTCTATTGCTTTCCATGATACACACTGGATAATCAGTAATCATTTGTTGATTTCCAGTTGGGTTTTCAGGAATCTATTAGTTTGCGGACTATTACCAGATCTGCATGGCTTCATACAAGGGGCTCTCAATAAATGTCGCAGAACCTTCTTGTACTAGGAAGATTTGGGATGCAAATAACTTAGAGATCTGACAGGATCTCTAGTACATAATAAGTCTTTCAGAAGACAACCCACCTGCTTCACACTTTGAAAAATAAACCACCAGATTCACAAGGGTTCTCCACTCACCTCTCAGTCTCATCTCTCTCCACTATCTTCCCGTCATCTCTATTTCCTACTAGCACACAGAACTACTTCCCCAACTGCTCAACACAATCTTGTGTTTGGCCCTTCCCATTTGTTGCTTGCTTTATTGTTTACACACACTTACTCTGTAGCATCCACTCTTTCTTTATGTCTCATTTAGATGTCATCTCATGAGAGCCTTCCAGACTCCCTCTCAGGCACCCCTGATATCTCTGTCAATAACTTTCTTGTAGTCATTCTATCACACTGTATTTAAATTCTGTTTACTTCTCTGTCATCTTCAACAGGCTGAACTGTGGGAAGGCAGGGTCCATTCACTGTTGCGCAGTGTTGTGTCTCTCGCATCTAGTATGGTCCTAACACACTGGTTTTTCAATAAATATTTCTTCATTGAATTATGAGAATGACCGGAGTTTTAGTAAACAGATAATGCTCTTCCAACCACTAAGCATGGTTTTCTGATATTCCACTAAGACTGAGCGCTCCGGATTGCTACATTTTCACCCTGTGAGGCTGATCATCCTTTGAACCAGGCCTGCAGGTGGAAACCCATCTGTGTGAATCTGATTTCTCAGCAGAACCACCGCCGACATCGCGTGGAGATGAAGGGCGAGTTTGTAAGACAGATCTAGGAGCAACTGCTATACCTTCTAGGCAGTGAGTTGGAAAGCGGGTATTTACGGGCCACCGTGATCCCAGGAAAGACGAATGATTCATCTTACCCTCACCTCCGGCTGCGCTCTCCACACACCACCTCCGCCAGCGCGCCAAGCCGTTAGTCCCACCCCCTCCCACTCGGCTCCACCCACTCGGCTCCACCCACCTGGCGCGCCCGGTTACTAAAACCCTAGCCGCCGGAGTGCGCGACGCATTCCTAAGCCCCGCCCCCGGGGCGAGGGCGCGCTCCCCCTCCCAGCTCTGCCCAAGCAATTCCGTTAGTGGCAGGAGGAAAAACCGTCCTTCGGGTCCCCGCCTCTCCACTCTCAACGCTTCACTCCCTACGCCCCCTGCGACCACTACACAGCCAGCTACGGAGGCCCCTAAAGTACAAAAATCCCCCAGGCCCTTGGCGTATCCAGATAGATTTTGTTATTGTTATTCCATCTGGTCCTAAGGCCCTGCATTCAATTTTTGTCAGGAATTCGGGCTCGCGAGTTTCTTCCGGCAGCAAGAACGCCAACGCTCTTCACGGAAGTAAAAGTTGTTTTTTCTTTCTTTTTTTTTTTTTTTTGCCGCTGTGGCCGCCCGCATTCCTTCCCTCCCACCTCGCGGAATTGTGGAGGGAGGGGGGAGAGGAAGTTAAAGCGCCTGCGCGCAGAGGCCGCTTTCCATCCGGGTCCCTGTCCGTGCGGTGCAGCAGGTCGGTAGGCGGGAAATGGCGACTGGCTGAAGGAGCTGGTTCTGTTGCTGCTGCGGGCTAAGCGGGAAAGACACCACAGATTGCGCAGTCGGGACCATCGCCGGAGCCTGAAGACACTTCTCTGTCGTCATAGTTAGGTAATCCCCCTCGTCCAGACACTGCCGCTGCTCCCAATCCTAGTCTTCCTCCTCTTCCAGGGCCGTCTGCCGGGATCTCCTCCCCTTCTCAACCGGGTACTCCAGCGGCTCCCGCGCCTTGGTAGGCATGCACTCTTGGCGCCTCGTACGTCCGCGGTGTGGAGACGCTCTTCTCTGGACTTTCCCCTGGGAACCGAAAGGGAGATCACTTCCCGCCAGCTTCGGCTCCCAGGCTGCGCGGCCTGTGTTGTGATTTCTGGGGTTAGATTTCACTTTGCTACCCACCCCCACCCCAATCTCACCTCCTTAGTCCCAAGCCCTGTGGTCCCTCTGGGTAGTTGGGTTAGATCAGCTTTTCTAACCTTGGCCCACCTGATGTTTTCGATCTTCATTCTTTCTAGTAGGGTGCTTTTAGGGGGGCGTTGCTCTCAGTTTTTATAAGCACCTTTTGGGCATCTGGAAGAAGAGATTTCACTAAGTTCTGTTTATCTTCTGTACTGTTAAAATGTTGAGTTGACATTGTTAGTTTTTCAAATCAAGAGTGGTAGTAATGAACAACCCATGTGGAAGGCCTCTGGTTTCTGTAGTGGTCAGTTAAGGGTGAATCTTACCGTCCGTAGTATTTTACGCTTGCTTCGGGTATTAAGTACCTTTATGGATGTTTACTTTTTCATTCTTGACTAGAATTCCGTGGTAAATAATTGTGTAAGTAAACTGTGTTTATTTACTTCTCGCCCTAGTGGTGGCTGGATGTGTGATGATGTTAAGCACTTTAGAGTACCTTAGGGAAGCCTGAAGAGATATTGCTCGTAAACTGCCTTCAAAGATCCTGAAATGAGATGTACTTACAGTAGATGTTTCTCCAAGGCAAGAATCTATCTTTCAAATGCTAATAAAGGAATACCAAGATTACTGCCCAACATGAGTGTACAAATTAGGGACTTAAATGATAGATATATCTTTATAATTTTCAGATTGTAGGTTTTCAAATATATTGTCTTTACATTCTTCGACAGGTTTTAAATTTTTGTTTGTTGTCCAGCTGTTAAAGCAAGGAAATAGCTAGTTTTATTCCTTTTTTTTTTTTTTAACATTGCAGACTAATTGTGGACGTAGAGAAGTAGTAAAGAGGCTGTTGGTGTTTTTCAGAATTTGTTCTTCAATCTTGTTGAATTTGGGGGCCTTTGTATTTTTTTTTAACTAGTCAAATTAAGTTTTTAAACTGTGGTTCGTATTTTATATCATTTGATGTTTATAACTCAAAGGCTTCTAGCTCTCTAGGTCCAGTTTAGAAGACTTCACTATTGTTAGCACCTTAGGATTAAATTTCATTAATAATCAGGAACACACAAACATCATTATAGTCACCATTTGATAGATTTCGCCCCAAGGTCATAAAGAAAGTCAAGGCAAAATGTCGCTTTTACGTGAAGCAGTCTTTTAGGATTGAGTTGAACTTCATACTTATTTTCTAGGACCAAAATATCGGAAGTGGGAAGTGGAGTTGAGGGCATGTTGGATATTGGCTAAGCCAATTTGTTTAAGAAGTAGGGCCAAATATGTGACTTAAAAGGCTGTCATATAAATTATTGGTCTAGTATAGGCTTTGTCTGTACTTCAGTAACCTTTTTGGGTAGTTTATAAACATTAATGTTTTTAATAAAATTTGGTTTACAGGTAGCTTGAGTGAACGTTGTATGTAGATTTTGTCTTCAAGAAGTCACCCAAATTGCTTTAATTCTACATTCATTTAGTACCTGGGCTCTTCTTATCCTCTTTTTAGTATGGGCTAAAAAGATGTAAAAGCTCTAAGTGGTATAGTCCTTAACCTTTGTGAATTTGTAGCTGTATAGAAATTCCAAATATGATTGCATAGAAAACCAAATAGGATTGGTATATTTTATAATACTCCAATCTACATAGAGCTAGTCATGTTATTTTTTCCACTGCTAAGAAATTAAGAATTGGGGAAGTTGTATCTTTCCCAAATATATCTGGCTGATCGCACGTTCGAAATTTCCGGTCAAGAGGTTACTTCATAAGATTATTATATAACAATCTATTCAATTCTGGTTTAAAAAAACTTGAACCTGTTTTTCAGAAGAGTACAAGACTCTAGACTCATAACTGTAGAATTAATTGCAGATTGAATAAAATGGTATTAACTTATCTCAGTCATAGAAGGCTGTGCTTTGGACTAATGTGATATAGAATACAGAGTATGTCAGAATTCAAAATAAACACTCTCTAATTATACTTGTAATTTACCAAGCTGTAAAAGTGTAAAGTAGACAAGACATTTTAAGTGATAAATATCAAATGCGCTGAGAGGACCTCATATGTGGTGTGCTCTAAGTAATTCTTCTGGGTAGATTAAAAAGTTAACTCACCATTTTTATTGGATTAGCTGTAGGCAGTCATTTGCTCTTTGAAGATGAGAAGATTTAACAGATAGGGGATTTATGATAAAACTATACACCTGCAGTTTTAGTTTCCACTTACTTGATATTTGCCATGAGCTATATATCTAAGCCTGACATATATTCACAACTGGTTGTATGACTGCATTAATTTTTAATTTAAACTATATTAAACTGTAATTGGATCTACATTACATATAGTTAAACTAGGTGGTTGACTGTGAGGTATAATTTGAGAATTGCTGGTGCCAAACTTTATTTGTGTCTCTCCTGTGTGTTAAGGAATTCTTTCTAAAATATTCTGTTTAAAATGACAAATTCTCTGAAAGAGAAACTTTAAAATACTGTCTTTTATTGACAGTATTAGTGCAGATTAGTTTATCAAATAAACTTCCTATACCTATACAAACCAGGTGAGGGTTCAGAGGCAGTGGGATAGAGAAGTAAGCTTTTATGATAGGGAGTTGTGTGGCATGTAGGAACATTGTCTAGGGGAGAAAGATACAGTGGGGGTAGTAGAATCATAGTTTGAAGCTTGGGCCCTCTCGGGGTCCTTTGGGAATCTTGTGAAACTGACATTAATGATGGGTGAGACTTAAGTGTGGTCCCAAGAATAATCGTAGGACTTTATGGACAAACATGGTTTATAGATTTAGCCAGCCCTTTTGTATACTTCATCTGTAGGTCCCCCAGTTAGTAGGGTATTTTTAGAAAAGAGTGACGAGAAATACTGAAATGCCATTGAAAAAACATAGTGTAAAGTATTTACAAAAAAAAGTCTTTTCACTTTAATATAAGGCCACAGGTAGGCCAGTTGACTATATTACTGACCCCATATTTTATGGTATTCATAGTCTCTCCTGTATTAATTTAAAGAGGTTGTAGAAAAGGAGGTATGTCTAGATTAAACATGAATCATCATCAGTGCTTTGACTTGAGGTTCTAGCAGTCAGGTTTTCATAATAGCGATAATACTTTTAGGACAAGGAAATGTGTTTATTACTTTGATTAAAGAAAAAAACAAAACTACCCTTGAAAGGCATTTGAATACTTCATAAATAATTGGGATTAATATTTAATAATAGTGGTTTATATAGTTTAGGAAGAATGTTTTCTTTCTTTGGACTAAATACTTCTATATTGAGAATTGGGAACTAAAACAGCAGAGACGTTGCTAAAAAAAGAAGGAAGATTTGAGACCCTGTTTGCAGCATAACCTGGTATTTTAAGTTTTCTCAAGTTGACCCATAAAGTAATCTTTAGGAATTTAAAAGCACATTTTATTAAAAGTATATTATTTGTTAAATAAAAATATCCAGATTACACAAGTATCTTTTTAGTTGAGAAAAAACTATGATTATTTATTTTAGTAATAATTGTTTTCTTCCTGGTATTTCCCAAATATGTATGATTATCCTATTGAGTTGAAAATGATTAACCTTTCATTGACCTTACAAGTACCTGCTTTAGTGTATGTTGTTAAATAAGATAATTATACAATCCTTTAATTTTCTGATGTACTGATAATAATTGTTTGAAAAATACAATCACATTTCAAACAATCATGCATTTTTTTCTTCATTGGGACTATACTTTTTTTTTTTAAGTAGTAGCAAACATGATGGCACTTCTGTTAGAGAATTATGATTATATCTCATCTTTGACTAGTAATTTAAAAACTCATTCTTCATAAACCTTCTTATCTTCAGTTTATCTGTCATAATGATTAGTTTTTCCTTGGTAGGTAATGATAAGAATAGTGGGGAATTATTTCAGATATTCAGTGCATATTTATTTGGGGTAAAGGCCTTCATGTTTTGCTTCATAATTTTACAGTTTTTAGTTAATATCTATTTTTCTTTGTCAACATCTCATGATTCTTTTCTTACTATCAAATTAATGTGTTCTGAGGATTTCAGATTTCTACTAGCCTGAATAAGTTTAATATAAAATTAATTTTCTTTAAATGGAAGTTTTTAATCAAAGAAATATAAATGAGTAGTTATATCTCTTCCCATGTCCAGTTAATGGTGAGAATTACTTAAATGAAAAGCACTCTTAGGAAAATTACGCTGAAATTACTTTCACTTCAGTCTTCAATTTTTCTTTGTTAATGTATCCAATAAGTACATTGTAACTTGTATATATACAGGTGATCCCAGTAAATTTAAAAAGTGTATATGTTGGAATATATTCTATAGAAAGGTTAGTAATAAGATTAAAAAATGGTAAACTGGAGTGACAAGTTTCCTATGTGCTTTTTTGAAGGAAAAAAAATGTTTCTCTTGAATATTATGGCACTCAGTTCTTATAAATTCATAACCTGTATTTTTGCTAAAATAATATATTCTGTTATAAAGTTTTATTGGTATGAATTTCTTCCATACCATGTAATAGAATGCCCTTTTTGCAAGATGTTTATATTTACTGGCGGTTGTTAATACCTCCAAATTACTGTTCTTTTAAAGCTTAGGTTAAAGAAATACAGATATGTTTTCAGCAGGACATACTGTCTCATTCTGTCCATAACAAATACTGATTTTTCCCTAATGATGTCTCTGCTGAGGACATACAAGATTT